TTGGAGCAGCCCCGGGGCGGAGGTGGCGGTGACGGCGGGGAGGAGGCGGCGCGGGAGGAGCAGAGCCGGGGCTGGCGGGGGCAGCGCGGCGCGGCGCGGGCGGCGGAGCGGCGGGATGCGGCAGTGCCGGGCCGCGGGGCTGGCGGGGCTGGCCGCGGTGCTCCTGGGTGCGCGGGGCTGCCGCCGGCGGGGCCGAACTGCGGGGGCACGGGGGGCCGGGGCCGCGCTCGCCTCTGGATTCTTTCTTACATCGTGAACATCTCTCCTGTGCATGAAATTGCTGTGAGAGAAAATGGATTTTGTCAGTTTGCTGCTTCTTTTCTTCTCGGCAGCGGCTGTGAGCAGAGCTCAGGTGCAGCAGGAGCTGTCGGCAGAGACCAGCGAGGGCACCGGCATTAACATCACCTGCTCACACCCCAACATAAAGACCGGCGATTACATCCACTGGTACCGCCAGCTCCCGGGCCGAGGACCCGCATTCCTCGTCAGCGCAGTTAGAGGTTCCAAGGAGGTTCCCGACCCGCAAGGGCGGCTGTCGGTGTCGTCGGACCACCGCTCCAGCGCCCTGTGGCTCGCCCGGCCCCGGCGCGGCGACGCGGCCGTGTATTACTGCGCCGTGGCGCACGGGGAGCGATGCCGGGGCTGCGGCCGGGCACGAACCGCTTTGGGCGGGACGGGGGCACAGTGCCGTCCGGGCCCGAAGGGGGCGCTGCCTGCATGGCCGCCAAACTCCATCCTGACCAGGGTGCACCTCCATGAGTTCTCGAGAGAAATGAGCACGGCACACACAGCAGCCATTGACTGAAGCCAGTGAGTCAGACGCAGCTGAGTCTGTGTCAGGACTGCACACCATGTGAGTGTGGGGAACAGCAGGACTGACTGCAAGGGCTGTGTTTGACACCTGAGGGACATTCTCACAATTCTATTCCATCTTCTATCCTCTCCTCCTTCCCCAGTGCAGCACATATAAGAACCTGGAAGGAGAGGGGCCTAAAACCCAGAACATCAGCAATGTGCTAAGTGAGAGAATTAATTGAGGAAATATCCTAGTGGAATGCAAGGTAACACAATACATTATCATTGGAGTGGAAGTGAATAAATCAAATAAATGAAAGAAAGAGAGTGCCCCAAAACCAAAGGCCTTACTCTAATACTGAAGGGGAGATGGCTAGGGTGCACACACCACAGAGGTGACCAGAAAGACATCATTCTGTAAGTCCCAAGCAGTTTTATCTTTCCCTCTGAATGGATAACTGAAACACAGTGGTGAAGTCTTCTGGGAGCTGTAGTTCTTCTCATCTCAGGTACTCAGGTATTGAGGTACTACCAGCAATCCACAGGACTGCAGCATTAATTCTTTAAATCCCAGTGCTCTGCATGAAGTTACAATGAGAAATGCCAATAACAAAAATCATAAAACCATGACACCAGTGAGTTGGGCTACACTGCTGGGTTTCATTTCTCTTCCTCATCCTATTACCCTGTGGAGAAATTGTTGATTTCCTTGGACTCCTCTCACTGGGCTGTCAGCTCATCAGGAGACTTTATCTGTTCAGAGCACTGCAGCCTTGCCTACCACAAAGGTCCCCAGTGTCTCCTGAGTCAGCTCCCCATGACCTCAGCCTCTGCCTCTTCAGCTGTGTCTGTGCATGAGCGTGGATGACGGGTGCTCACATGTAACTGAAGTGTGCACGAGCTG